CGGGGCTGTGGTCGGCTGATGGACGGAGCATCGATCTGTTTTGTCTTTGAAGTGTCCTTCAGGATCCAAGGCTTCATATTGACCTGTGATGTCACGTCCTCTTTGGGCCGGGGACAGGAGGAAAACTCTAGAATCGTGTGTGTTAAACAGGACTCAGGAGACTTCTGGTACAAATCCAAAGCTCTTGGTTTGTTTAAAGCAGATCTGTTCTGCAAAATCGACTTTTCAGAGATTTTAACCCTGTTATAGTTTCCCCTTGTCACGGAAGCTCTCAAGTTGTGTTTGGAGTCATTTGTGTTTAATCTGTGTGTCATTCGTTCATTTGTTTTTCAAAGTAAAACCAACCATTATTTGTCTCCAAACCAAAATTCAAAAACAGATAATGATTCGTTCCAGGACTAAAACAGGTCGAAACCAGGTCGAAACCAGGACTGAACCAGGACTAAACCAGGACTAAACCAGGACTGAACCAGGAACCAGGACTAAACCAGGACTAAACCAGGACTAAACCAGGACTAAACCAGGACTAAACCAGGACTGAACCAGGACTAAACCAGGACTAAAACCAGGACTAAACCAGGACTGAACCAGGACTGAACCAGGTCGAAACCAGGACTAAACCAGGACTAAACCAGGACTAAACCAGGACTGAACCAGGACTGAACCAGGACTAAACCAGGACTAAACCAGGACTAAACCAGGACTGAACCAGGACCTGACTAAACCAGGACTAAACCAGGACTAAACCAGGACTGAACCAGGACTAAAACCAGGACTAAACCAGGAACCAGGACTAAACCAGGACTGAACCAGGACTAAACCAGGACTGAACCAGGACTGAACCAGGACTGAACCAGGATTAAACCAGGACTAAAACAGGACTGAACCAGGATTAAACCAGGACTAAACCAGGACTGAACCAGGACTGAACCAGGATTAAACCAGGACTAAAACAGGTCTAAACCAGGACTAAACCAGGACTGAACCAGGACTGAACCAGGACTGAACCAGGACTAAAACAGGTCTAAACCAGGACTGAACCAGGACTGAACCAGGACTAAACCAGGACTAAACCAGGACTAAACCAGGACTGAACCAGGATTAAACCAGGACTGAACCAGGACTGAACCAGGACTGAACCAGGACTGAACCAGGATTAAACCAGGACTAAAACAGGACTAAACCAGGGCTGAACCAGGACTGAACCAGGACTAAACCAGGACTGAACCAGGACTGAACCAGGACTAAACCAGGACTAAAACAGGACTAAACCAGGACTAAACCAGGACTGAACCAGGACTTAGTGTCGGTGCGCCTGCATAGACTGTAGGATGATCAGGACTGAGACTGGGACCAGACCAGGACCAGACCAGGGCTGAGACCAGGACTGAGACCAGAACCAGACTGGGATAAGATCAGACTGAGACCAGTTTAGTCCTGATTCAGTTCGGCATCGCGGTTTAAGTCACGGAAACGGGAAACGGCCGTTATCCCATTTTACCATTTTTCATTTAAACACAAAATCGAAAACTGAAATCATATTACTGATCAACCCCTATTTCCACTGCTCTATGCTTACTTCATTCTCCAATTCTATTTTATTTTTAAGATTTGGCAGTGTTGTGAAGCCATTTTGGTACAAATGAAAAAAACAAAAAAAAAACAATGCTCAGCTCTCTGTTTGTTGTTGTGATGATGTTGACAGCGACATCAGCTCCCAGTGGGATTGTTTCTTCATTTGAGATGAATATTATGATTTAAAATGTGTAAATTATAACAAAATGATTCACTGGGGTCATAGATTATAACGATACAGCAGACACAAGCACAACAGGTCTGCTTTAAAGGGGACAGATTCTGTAAAAACAACTTTTTATGAGCAACCATGTTAGAACAGTGTGTCCTCTCTGCACTGAGTGTTTATATTTATTCTCTTTGAATAACTCTAGTTAATATCAAACCATTTTGTTCCATTTATCCTTGAAGATTGGATATTCTGAGTTCCAATTTGTAAATTCAAACTGGAATGTTCCACCTGCTGTGAATTCCTTCTTGGAAACTGGCTTTGCTCTCACAGCCATAATAACACTGCAGGGCTTCTACAAAAGCTGCAGCTCACTCCAACACTCACAAGAACTTTACATATCATTAAAAACATGAAAAACACAACCAGTTCATTTGAAACAGTTTGCACTGGTCCAAAGTCACTTCTCACTGACCTTTGCTTTCTGAACATCTAAATTATTCACTGATATGAGTCAGAGGTGGGACCAAGGCGTTGTTTTGTGATTCTCAAGTAAGTCTCAAGTCTTTGACCTCAAGCCCAAGTCAAGTCCAAATCGAGTCTTGAGTCATGGGCTCATAAGTCCAGGTCAAGTCCCAGTCCTCTGCTTTGAGCTTCAAGTCATGTCAAGTTTTAAACCAAAGTATAACTTAGATTTTTGCACTTTATATGACTTTTTAAGTAAATTGAACTTAAAAAGTCACAGTGAATGTATATATGAGTGTTTATATTAGAAATGCAATTTTTTTCCTGTTTAAATGATTTGACAGGATCTTAGTGTGATTCATTATGGTCAGAATAGAAATAATTCAGATTTAAATATGCTAAATAACAGTTACTTTGTCATGAAGAAACATGTTCTTTGTGGATCTTTGTAGTTCTGTGTGTGTGTATATATATATATATATATATATATATATATATATATATATATATATATATATATTTTTTTTTTTTTTTTTTTTTTTTAGGAGAAACATTAAGTCTTGTCAAGTCTCAAGTCCTACAAACCTTACAGGGTCTTTAACCTAGTTGAACTTAAGCATTTTCCCAGTTTTCTCACTTTCATGAGTCATTACTGGATAAACACTGTAATAAACTGCACTTTTAGTCTGACTTGACAACTGGAACACAGAACCTCTGAGAAAATGTCACTCAGAGGTCCAAATCAGTGTGACTATTTTTCACTGTATTTTACATTGGAGCTAAAGTCTTCCGTTCTCCAGTCCTATTTAAAGGTTCATTACAGAAAACTTACTCTCATGACTTTATCTTTTTTTTTTGGTCAAACACAGACCTGTGTTTGTGTTTACTTTTATTCAGATGTTTCAAGTTACTGTTTATTTTTAGTCTCTCTACATCTTGTGATCTCTTGAAGTGGTAGTTTTCAATTGAACAGCTTCTTTTACCTTTTTCATTAGAGATTGGCAATTCCAGAGTAGAGATTATCCAGATGAGAATGGATTTTAAAAACACAGTGGAGCACTTCCTGTATTGCCACATGATGCCAGAAGGTGGAACAGGGTGTTTTCTGTTTGAGAGAAGAACTCAGCCTAAACAGACATTTTTCACAACGGACGAAGGTGCCACGATCTAGGGGTCAATGTCACTTCCAGTTCATGCTTTTCTGTGGCAAAATATCTGTGTAAATGTGTGGCGTATTCTCCAACAGCTTCATAAATCTGCTCCATCACCAAATCTTCATCCAACAAGGTCCACAAAGGATAAACATTCTAACATGAAGAACTTATCTTCAACTATCAAGAGAAGAAAGAACAAAACTTAAAGGAAACAACAGCAACACGTGACACTGAACAAAACTAATGTTATGATCATGAATAAAACAGAAGGAACTTGTTCACTCAGACTCATTCTACAATTCAAATTAAAACATGTAATCCGTGAACATCTGTGCTAATATCTACATCATGAAATTGATTTTTAATTTTAATTCTAGAGTCTGAGTTCACAAGTTACTTATTAGTGAATTACTTATTACTAATGATGGGCAAATGAGTCGGAGCTCTGGAGCACGTCTCGTTCTTTCTGAAACAAATCACTCTGAAGCGCTGCCTCGGAGCTCGTCTCGCAGCAGCCGCTCACGTGACCAAAGTGCGGAAGTGTCGGTCCCTCCCCTACTGCTTCTCTCTGCGTGTCAATCGCTTCAGTGTATCGAAGAGTTTCATTGGCTCAGCGAAGGTTCCGCTCTGTGATTGGTTCAGATGCTTCAGAGTGTTCAGCGCACTTCTGTGGTTTGACAAACGCTAAACTGCTACAGCATAAAAGATGCATCAATATTTGTTAAACATGTTGGGTAGTGAGGAGTATTGTGTGACGTTAGTGGTGATTTTGGCGACTTTTGACATTTGTTTCATTTTCGATGGCATCTACAAGTGGAAAAAAGCGATCCATGTTTTGGGATCACTTTGATCTAATTCCACCTAACAAGGTAACACCTATTTTCTTATTTACAGCATGTTATTTATGTTGCGCTTTCCATATTATTTTAAATCATCATTATTATTATTGTTGTTAGGTGTGGTGTATGCTCTGTACACAACTCTTGTCTTACACTGATGCTGAGACATCTGCGTGTCTATGGTTAAATTTGTCCACTAGAGGTCAGTGTTTCTCCGAGGCCTCAGACACGTCCAACCATTTGAGACAATATTGCGACTGAGGTGTCAACGCTTCACCAGGCTCCATTCGCCCATCACTACTTATTACTTATGTTATTCATGACCATAACATTACTTTTGTTGATTGTGTCACTAATGCGTCATCGTTGTTCGTCTTCACGTTTTCGTCTTTCTTCTCTTGATAGTTGTGGATAAATTCTTCATGTTAGAATGTTTATCCTTTGTGGACCTTGTTGGATGAAGATTTGGTGATGGGGCAGATTTATGAAGCTGCTGGAGAATAAGACACACATTTACACAGATATTTTGCCATAGAAAACCATGAACTGGACATTAAAGTGACGTTTACCCAAAATCACGGCACTTCCAGACGTTGTGAAAAAGATCTATATACTGGGTTTGTGTGTTAAATATGTGTGAATGAAACAAAACACAACTCCAGACGTGCTTGTGATGAAGAAACTACATTGTAACACAACTCAGAAAATAGTTTAATATGGGTCCTTTAAACGCTGCTTTGACGTAATGCACATTCTCTGTCCGGGTGTGTGTTTGTATGTGTGTGTGTGTTTGTGCAGTCTGAGCTGACCACGGAGCAGAACGGCTTTAAGATCACCCTGAAGACCCTGGAGGACAACCTGCTGTCCCGCCTGTCTTCAGCCTCTGGGGACTTCCTGGGGGACACAGAGCTGGTGGAGAACCTGGAGATCACTAAGCGCACGGCCGCCGACATACAGGAGAAGGTACGATTTTGGATCAGGGACGGGACCAAGACACAATTTTCACAAGACGAGATGAGATACGAGATTGGGTCCACGACAAGGTCAACATGCACTGGCCCGTGTAGCATACCTAAAGAGAAAGAGCTCTAGGCCGATCAGCATTCTCTTATAAAACTAGAACAGAGCGGAACAAACTACCAACACTTTTAAATCTATGGAAAGACCTCCTCTCACCTTTTGTGGCTCCAAAAAAGTCACGTCTTTCTGCTCAGATTGTTCAAAATAAAAAAAAAGAGCAGATTAAAATCTAATTGGAGTAGCAGAGCTTCAGACAGAGCAGTGCTGTTAGATAGCATGTTAATGAGGTCATCTGCAAAGTATCAGTACTTTTAATAGTAGGTTTTCATAATGTTTCATAAGGCATTTAAAGTTTTTAATTGTGTTTTGTACTCAGGACTCCCTTGAAAGTGAAGTGGTAAACTCAGTGGTACTTCACATAATATCTTATAAATCTTTAGCTCAGAGATATTGTTCAGTCCATTAATTGGTCCATGGAGTCTTAGTCGACCAAAATCTGTTGATGTTTTTTTTTTTTTTTTTTTTTTTTTAGATTAAACAGATTATTCCAAAGTTGAATCTGTCTTTATATAAATTGGTGCTGTCAAAAATATTGCACCATTAATGAGTTAATGCAAAACAATTTTATGCTCTTTATGACCTTATGAACTAGTTTTTTCATAAGATGTGGCCACTAGTAATGTTAGAAAAACTACAGGATCCGACTGTAAACAGGAAGGAAAGCAATTTGTAAAAACCGAGAAGTCCCGGTTGGATGTGGGCCGAAGCACGACACAGTTGCACATGCACGACTTCACTATACGAGCCCAGTCAGGTGCACTGATGATAGTCATATGAAGAAAACACTAAATAAAGTCCACTCCAGAACATATGGTGAATCCACGCTTATCTTGGATAAGGACCTTGGACAGCGACAAATGTTTTGCAGCCTCTCTCCTCCAGCTGTCCTCACTGCTCTGCGCTGCTATTATATCCATAAACTCACAGAAGAGTGCTTTAGGACTCATATCAGTCTCATTATTTAATAGATATTTCATGGTGCTGGTCTTATTTTCTCCCCTAAAAGCGGTAGTTCTGCTGTGTGACATGTAAACAAACAGCACCATGTGATGATGTCATTAGGCTGTCGCTCAGTTCCACGTGTTCAGGTGTAAGTGTAGTTGTGAGTGCTGGTGTGAGTGCAGGTGTGAGTGCAGGTGTAAGTGTAGTTGTGAGTGCAGGTGTGAGTGCAGGTGTGAGTGCAGGTGTGAGTGCAGGTGTGAGTGCAGGTGTGAATGTAGGTGTGAATGTAGGTGTAAGTGTAGGTGTGAGTGCAGGTGTGAGTGTAGTGTAGTGTAAGTGCAGGTGTGAGTGCAGGTGTGAGTGCAGGGTGTGTGAGAGCAGGTGTGAGAGCAGGTGTGAGTGCAGGTGTAAGTGCAGGTGTAAGTGCAGTGAGTGCAGGTGTGAGTGCTGGTGTAAGTGCAGGTGTGAGTGCAGGTGTGAGTGCAGGTGTGAGTGCAGGTGTGAGTGCAGGTGTGAGTACAGGTGTAAGTGTAGGTGTGAGTGTAGGTGTGAGTGCAGGTGTAAGTGTAGGTGTGAGTGCAGGTGTGAGTGCAGTGTGAAGTACAGGTGTAAGTGTGTAGGTGTGAGTGTAGTGTGTGAGTGCAGGTGTGAGTGTAGGTGTGAGTACAGGTGTGAGTGCAGGTGTGAGTGTAGGTGTGAGGTGTGAGTGCAGGTGTGAGTGCAGGTGTGAGTGCAGGTGTAAGTACAGTGGTGTAGTGTAGGTGTGAGTGTAGGTGTGAGTGCAGGTGTAAGTGTAGGTGTGAGTGCAGGTGTGAGTGCAGGTGTAAGTGCAGGTGTGAGTGCAGGTGTGAGTGTAGGTGTGAGTGCAGGTGTGAGTGCAGGTGTGAGTGCAGGTGTAAGTACAGGTGTAAGTGTAGGTGTGAGTGTAGGTGTGAGTGCAGGTGTAAGTGTAGGTGTGAGTGCAGGTGTGAGTGCAGGTGTAAGTACAGGTGTAAGTGTAGGTGTGAGTGTAGGTGTGAGTGCAGGTGTGAGTGTAGGTGTGAGTACAGTGTGAGTGAAGGTGTGAGTGTAGGTGTAAGTGCAGGTGTGAGTGCAGGTGTGAGTGCAGGTGTGAGTGTAGGTGTAAGTGCAGGTGTGAGTGCAGGTGTGAGTGTAGGTGTGAGTGCAGGTGTAAGTGTAGGTGTGAGTGCAGGTGTGAGTGCAGTGTAGGTGTGAGTGTAGGTGTGAGTGCAGGTGTGAGTGCAGGTGTGAGTGCAGGTGTAAGTGTAGGTGTGAGTGCAGGTGTGAGTGCAGGTGTGAGTGCAGGTGTGAGTGCAGGTGTGAGTGTAGGTGTGAGTGTAGGTGTGAGTGCAGGTGTGAGTGTAGGTGTGAGTGTAGGTGTGAGTGCAGGTGTGAGTGCAGGTGTGAGTGCAGGTGTGAGTGTAGGTGTGAGTGCAGGTGTGAGTGTAGGTGTAAGTGCAGGTGTGAGTGCAGGTGTGAGTGCAGGTGTGAGTGTAGGTGTAAGTGCAGGTGTAAGTGCAGGCCATAGAATTCTACAGAATCGTGCTTGAGCATGACACTGTTCAAAAGTCCTAGTGTGAGTGCGTCTTTAGTACAGCAGCATTGAGGCAGATAAACACCAGTCGCACTAACTGGAGATAACTGGACGACCCTCAGTCATGAGAACTACCTCAGGTCACAGCACATTGTTTCACCCACAGTGGGAGCTTCAGTCTCTTTGACTGCTCTGAAGACAGAAGAGGCACTTCACACATACTGACGCAGAGCACTTCATGAAAGTGCAACATGAGAGTGGAACATCCAACACGAAGTTGTCTCACTGAAAATTGTTATGGTTTGCAAAAAAAACAACAACAAAAAAAACGTCTGCACAAAATGGGCTGCGCAAATCTACTTTTCTATGTTGATAAGAGGATTAAAATTATTATTCAAGGGAAAAAAAAATGTTTGATTAATATGCAATTAAGCTCGAGTTAACTATCACATTCACAAGATTAATTGCGATTAAATATTTTAATCTAATAATATAAACACTAATATAAGTACATAGTTTCCTCGTCCTTTTTTCTGCATAAATAGTAGTTTTTGCATAAACTCGTCCTGCAGGTGTACACAGAGGTACAGAATAGTTTTGAGAGCTTTTGTCACGCCCCCTTTTTAGTCGACTCGTCAATCTGCAGGACATGTCTTTGGTCGACCAAGAATTCTTTTAGTCAAAGGCTCTACAATGGGGCAGATTGGCGCTTTTACTTCTGTTTTATATTATAGTGATTATTAACTATCCAAACACTTGTAAAAAGACAAAACAGGCATTGAACACCATCATAAAATCACTGGACACTTCTTAACAGTTAGCGTGTGTAAAACTTGCCTGGTGGAGGTTGAATCCACTCTGCTGGAGTGAATATTAGCACACAGGGGCTCACAGCGCTGTGTGAAGCGAGTGTGGTGAGGCAGAGCTGCTGCTGCACTGCAGATAAAAGCTGTCACTCTGCAGATGGGCAGCCTTTAACACAATTACTCCTACAGTTTTACTTTGAAACAGTCTGTGGGAGGAGAGGGGCTCAAACAGAAAGGCTTCCAATTAATAACACTCTGAAATAAAGTGAAATAAATGTACATTCTGAGTCAAAGTTTCATTAAGAAAAATCAAAGTTTTTCTCGTATAGCATTGTAGCTTATAGGAACAGGAGGTAGGACAGATAGTAGCTCAACTTGCTCGGAGTGCTAACGGTCGGCAGTTTGAGTCCTGCTACATACACGTAATAAAGCATCATTTGGCAAAACACTTTACCCACGTTGCCAACTATTGATGCTTCGCAGTGACATCAGGCTATGGGTAATGCAGATTTATCTGTGCATATAATGTTCAGCGGTCACCATGCTGACAGTGCACACATGAGCAAACACCAACAAAACATGTTTTAAGATCATATGAAAACTCAAGGAAAAGTACAAAATGGGTTTAAAGAACACATTTTCAGGAGCCTGTGATCAATGCGCAGTGTTGGGAAGGTTACTTGAAAATGTATTCCCCTACAGATTACAGATTACATAGTCCAAATTGTAGTTTGTAAAATAATCCATTAAATTACTTAAAGTGAGTAACGTAATCTGAGTACTTTGGATTACTTGCTTTGCTGTAGAGTAACAAAGACTAGGATATCGTAACATAAGATGTTTTATCTGCTAAAAGAAAATAAAAAGCCCAGACCTTACTTAACCAAATTAAAAATATTACTGATAGAAGATAAAGAGACACGTCCACCCAGCATGATTTAGTCCTGTTAAATCCTGTTTTAGACCTGGTTTAGACCTGGTTTAGATCTAGTTTAGATCTACTTTATGCCTGGTTTTAGACCTGGTTTTACTCCTGGTTTAGTCCTGGTTTAGACCTGGTTTAGTTTCCAGCAATGAGTGGAATTACCAAAAGAAAAAAAAAAAAAAGGATATAGCCCAAAATGTGAAAACAGGAAAATACCGCCGTGTAACCCATTTATTTTAACAAAATAACTGTAATCCAATTACCACTCACTGAAACAGTAACTGTAACTGAATACAGTTACTCATAATTTGTACTCTGATTACATAACTCCAGTACATGTAATCTGTTACTCCCCAGCACTGTCAATATGAGTGTTCATGGTCCTGTTTAGGTGATTTTATTTACAACAACCAAAAAAAAAAAAAAGGTAAGAGTGACTGAGAAAAAAACAAAAACAAAAAAGAGTTAGTAGTTAGAGCTCCAGCTAAATTGTGTTAAAATAAAGCTCAGATTAAAGTCTAATTTAAGTCATTTGTGTGCAGACTGAGTTCCAGATGACATCACAATATTCTATGCTGTTTAATGTAGATGGGATCAAATGTGTCATAAAACCACTTCAGGACCTATCTTATATACATGATTGTTTCCTACTGGGTATTTGTAAAGGGATAATAAGGACCTGACTTTGTCCAAATCCTCATATTCTAGTTTGCATATTCTAGTGTCTGAATTAAACCAACAGGCTGGGTTCATGTGACATCAAAAAAGCCTTTAGTTTAAAACTGAGGTGGAGGACAGGTCAGAATTCTCAGGTGGAATTTGCTGTTAGACTGTCAGACTGCAGATTTGTTGAGCTGGTTTATGGTTCATTTCACATATTGGGGCCTTATAAATCTGAAAAATGGAAAGAACCAAGGTTAAATCTCTGGGAGTGTACCTATGTTTCCACAGACAGGTTTTCATACATTTGCACGATCTTTTTGGAAGTAAATCCATAACCTCTACTCTCACCCTGGACCTAACCTTCACCAGAATCTACGAGACTCTAACCTTCACTAGAATCTCTACACCAGGCCTTAACCTTCACCAGAATCTCTACACCAGGCCTTAACCTTCACCAGAATCCTATATTCCCACAAATATGGGAGCATAGAGTTGAGTGAAGTACAAATTTCTATTTAAGGCCTTCTTATGAACATTTTGACACTCGCACATTTTTTTCTTTACTAGAAGAACAAATCCTACGAATGCAAACAAACAATTCCGGGTTAGGGCTCCTTCTTGATTTTGTTCTTCTTCAGCGAACACAAGTCTCCAAGATGGGTACAAGATTGAAACGTTTGCCTGTAATGACTTAATGAGAAGTTTGGAAGTTGAGAAGTTTATTTTATAATTTTTTTTAATTTTTTATTGTTTTTATTTCAAAAACATTTTAGGCCCCTGCTCTCCATTTCAAATTATGCCATAAAATTCTAGAGGATGGTATCACCACATTCTATAGACCAGGGGTCGGCAGCATTAAATACTCAAAGAGCCATTTGGAATTTGGAGCGTCTCTACAGAAAAAGAAAACACCCAGAGCCACAAAAACTTTCTGACATCTAAAATGAGGATAACACTACATACAATTTATTTTATTTTAATTTAATTTTTTTTTACGTGTTTGCTCCGTATAAAAGCCTAAAGTGTGTTGCATTTATGAAATCAAAGAAATACTACAGAGAATATATGTCCATTCATATATAGCAGGGGTGTCAAACTCATTTTGTTCCGGGGGTCGTGTTCAATCTACTTTGATCCAAAGGAGCTGGATCAGAAAACTCATGACATATAAACCCCAAAAATAACAGTAAGTTCAAATATTTGTGCAGAGAAACACAAATCTATTACAGAAATATTTTTTAATTGATGAACTCTTTTTTTTTTTTTTTTTTTTTTTTTACAAAATATTATAATATTATGAACAACCTGAAACTTTAAGAAAAATTCAATTTCAACACAATGTTTTAACATGAACATGCACTCGGCTCCACTTTTCTCATGTTGGACATTTTTCTGATGAGGGTGTCACGGTCAACAGTCAAAACGATCGTCCTTTAAGAGCGTTTGGAAAGAGACAAGTCTTCATTTGTGTTGCTCTGGTGGGAGGGGCCACGTACAGAGGCACTGGAGACGCTGCTGTGATAAACACCACAGAAAATTAACAAGATTATAATAGAAAATATAATTCAAATATTAGTAAAAAATCAGCCGAGGGCCAGATTAAAGGTCTTGGAGGGCCGGATCTGGCCCCCGGGCCGTATGTTTGACACCTGTGATATATAGAGTCTATCTGTATGATCTGCAGACATATAATCTCTGAAGAATTTAGCATAAACCATCTCCAACAAGATTGAAGCACAGAACAGACTCACCATCAGCAGAACATCCCTCTGTCACAGAGAGGACATTCATTTTCCACTGAGTTATGTCCTTTAGTTCAACAGAAGCTGACAGCATGAGCGCACAAAGAGAGAGCTGTTTTTTCAGTGCTTATAGTTCATGTAAATGAGCCATATGGTTTTAAGTTTTGTTTCTGTAAAACATAAACAAATGTGGCAAAGCTGCATTAAACACTCAGTGTTACTCAATGTATATTTGAGTCCTCCTCATAGGAAATAAAAATCCAAACTTAAATTTGCAGCAAACCAAAAATTCCGTCTGCTTCTATGTTCCAGCATCATTTTATCACATGTACCAGTCAGCAGTGAAAGAAAATTTATTTGCCCACATAACATTAAACATTCTGTTTTCTTCAGAATTTGTTTTCTTTTCTTGGATTTATCCATAATTTATCTCCCAGGTGTTGAAAAGCTCAATAAATTGTGCTGCTGGTTCCGTTAAGTTTGGGCTGCCACATCGGTGCCTGGTGTCGCACATTGGCGACTGTGATGCATATTTTGAGCGACAAAAGTGTTAAGAGCTGTATATGTGCACTAGCTATACAGACCTATGTTTTGGAAGGAATGAATTCCACACACAAGTACTCCCTCCAAACACATGGAAATCACCATAATTCACAACTGACACAGACTGTGATGGCCGGGAATCAAACCCGGGTCAGCTGCTTGGAAGGCAGCTATGCTAACCACTATACCACCATCGCAAGTTGAAGCAGTCTGTCACACAGTGGCATCACAGTCTCCTCTCATAGTCGTATCACAAGTCAGCGAAATGATACGGTGACTCCGTACAGACAAAATCATATCAAAACCACAGATAGCAAGCAGTAGTAAGACAGAGAATGAGTGAGTGCATATAAGCCACTACTGTTGATCCTAAAAGCTGGGAATTCCCATACCAGGAGTTGAACCCAGGCCGCCTGGGTGAAAACCAGGAATCCTGACCGCTAGACCATATGGGAAATTCAGGCTTCAGCCTATCGGTCACTTTACTAATCAAGTACAGAGACAATGCGCACTACACTGAGGGGAACTGTGCTGGTCACCTCTGTCTCGACTGTCCCAAGCATATAATTAGAGAACGCCGTTTGGGTTTTGTCACTAGTTGCTGTCATTTGCCTAGCAGCAAAAACTATGAAAGGAAAGAGTCTGTGTCTGTGTGTACCCCCCCTACACAGAGCCTCTGCGTCTGTGTGTACCCCCCTACACAGAGCCTCTGCGTCTGTGTGTAACCCCCCTACACAGAGCCTCTGCGTCTGTGTGTACCCCCCCTACACAGAGCCTCTGCGTCTGTGTGTACCCCCCTACACAGAGCCTCTGCGTCTGTGTGTACCCCCCCTACACAGAGCCTCTGCGTCTGTGTGTACCCCCCCTACACAGAGCCTCTGCGTCTGTGTGTACCCCCCTACACAGAGCCTCTGCGTCTGTGTGTACCCCCCCCTACACAGAGCCTCTGCGTCTGCGTGTACCCCCCCTACACAGAGCCTCTGCGTTGACCGACGTGCACCTCGTGCGTGTTGAGTCAATGCAGAACTATACTTCAGCCTTAAGGCTCTTGTCTCTTTCTGGGCATGGGTTCAAATCCCACCACTGCCAGTTTTCTTGCTGATGCCAAACTGAGCCAGGTAGGCTTTGTTCTGCTCTGATGTAGGCATTTCAGCAGCCGCCCTGGATAAGCTCCTTCAAGACACTGTCTCAAACATTGACCTTCACTTTCCCTGTCGACCTGTGTTAGAAGACACTGTCTTTATGCAAAATGCTGGCAGAATTCAAACCTGTGCAGGGAAACCTCAGCGGATTTCTAGTCCATCGCCTTAACCATTCGGCTACAATAACACACAAAAGGTCTGCTGTCAAAATGAAAAAACAAAACAACAAAAACCCCAGAAGCAATATGTTAATGTCAACGTGGCTACGCCACTTTCCCCAACTTCAGCTGGAGATGTCGTTGTTGACAGGATTCGAACCTGCGCGGGTGGACCCCAACGGATTTCAAATCCGTCGCCTTAACCTCTCGGCCACAACAACACGGTGAATCAGAATGGAGATAATGCCCTCAACACTTAAGGGATCTGACAACCCTCTGACATAGTGACAATACAGCTACATCAGACACTTCTGTGTCTTCACATATAGATGTTCCACTGGAATGAAATGTAATGTCACTGGTACTACAGCAGCTTGCCGTAGACTCTGTGACGCAACAGTAGTGCGTCTGACACCAGAACAGAAGGTTGTGTGTTCAAATCATATCAAGGTCATTGATTATATTTGTGGATGTTGTGCAGCAAAACAACAGAGATTGTTCTAGCCTCTGACAGTCAGGTGTTCTATTAGATTACATGAAAGAACATTTTATTTGAATGTTACAAGATTACCATTATCTATAAATTTATAAATTTAGAATTGCATTTAAAAATGAACAAACTAAAATAACAATACATTATAATTCAATACTCATTATTTCTTTTCCAAAGTCACATGGAGCCACAACAGAAGGATGAAAGAGCCACATGTGGCTCTGGAGCCGCGGGTTGCCGACCCCTGCTATAGACCAATAACATTAACAACAGATGGGAGAAGCTTAAATGAATATTGCTCAAATGGTGATTTCTGTTTTTATACAGTGAGTTCTTAGATCTCATCACTAACAGAAATGATCAGATTTAAGACTGTGTGAATTCACCTTTTAGATGATGAAATGTTCTGTTTTATGAAAATCCCATGTGATTAATTGTGAAATGTGACTCTTTCCCTCCATGTGGTCTTGTTCCATCATCACAGCCTGCAGTCTGAAGCCAGTGTACATGTGCATCGTACTACATGAATGGCTCCAACATCATATCCAGCGAGTGCTTGATGAACACACTCTGTATAGTTGTGGACACAGTGGTATATTGGTGTGTGTGATTTCCCCTGTGCTGCTTCTGTCTTTACTGCAGGTGAAGGAAGCCAAGGTGACAGAGGCCAAAATCAATGAGGCCCGAGAGCAGTACCGGCCGGCTGCAGCCCGCGCCTCCTTATTCTACTTCATAATGAACGACCTCAATAAAATCCACCCCATGTACCAGTTCTCTCTCAAGGTACGTATGGGCCACTGTATTGACCTGCTCTGCCCCCCCATCTCCTACGCACCCTATAGAGACACTTTTTACTCTCCTCCGCCCCTCTCCCCCTGCTTTATGCTCCTTGGCCAGCTCTCGTCCTGTTTGTGGCTCCCTAATGTGGTTATGTGGAGCGTAATGTCTCATATACTGTGGACCAGGCGCTCACACAAGTCAAGGCAGAGCTACGGTTTGTAATCCCGCTCGGCTCTGTGGGTAGTGCCCCGGTCCACTACTCTCCTCACCTAATCCAATGGAAGCTCAGCAAGCGCCCATACCTCTGACCTTCACAGCCAAATAGAATATAATAATATGCATTCTTCACAGCAGAGGCTATGACTCTGCAAAATCAATATGTGAGCACAAGAGAGAAGGCCTGTTCCACTGTAATACCACAAACACTGTGCTAATGCGTCACTGCTATGCTCCGTTATTACATCACACACTCTAGTGCTATTCTACTGATCAAACACTTTTGACTCCCACACATTTCACATATTCTGTATATTCAACAATACTAATCCACTGAGCTCCTCTGTGTTTTTAAAGTTCACTCTCCTGCCCTCACTCCTCATCTAGACCTCTAAACTTTGACGCTAGTGGCCATTATATTTAGCTGAATAAGAACTGCGTTATATTAAATGGGCAACATTACAGAAGGTACAAAAGGTAATTTTCTGCTTGATTAAATTTAATTTAATAAGATTTGTTCTTATATGGCATGCAGCCACAAATATGCTCTGTATTCATCTGTGTGTGGGGAATACATAACCAAGACACTAATACTAGACTAATATTAGAGTATCGTATTCTTTTAACCCATTAATGCCCAGATTTTCCCCAAAGATTCTATTATGACATTCATGTGTCACTTACAGTACTTTGGCATGATCAAGCATTATTTTTTAATGAAAATTTTATTTTAAATGACAATTTAACAAAAGTATTGTTTTCAGTTCGACAGATTTTGCGATTCACATAATACAGTGCAATGAGGCTGTTCTCATCTGTATGAGGGGCAGATGGGACGTAATTATTTCTGCATGAACCTTAGATGTTTCTCAGACTTGAGCTGTAGATGCTGGAGGACCTTGGATGTCCCTCAAACTATTAGCAAATATTATCTAAAGAAGTGTAGATGTTCTTCAGATTTCTCTATTCAGCTTTGAGAGATCTTTGGATGTTCCTCAGACCTGAGGTCAACAACCCTTTATTCTTTCACAAAATACATGAACTGTATTGAAAATATACACAGTAACACATTTAGAGCTTTATAAGTAGACCATTTTTTGGTGTTCACATTTGTGACCGGTGGGTTGTTAAAGGAGACACATCATCATGTGAGGCTTGATGAGACTCTTAGCCACACTTTTATACAGGCAATGTAAGAACACAACAGCCCGCTGTGGCACCTGATTTTTCCAACAGTCTCCCATCCAAGTCCTCCCCAGACTCAGCTTCTGAGATCTGACTAGATCAGACTTTGACAGGGACGGCTTACGCTGGCTTACACAGGTCCAAGCCCGTCACCCTCCAACTGCCAGACTTCAGCTTCTGATTCACTCCTGTTTAAAGAGTCCAGTATTGTCCTGCAGGTGAGACGAGAAACTTGGACAAATATCAAGATGAACCTGTCTCCTGTCCCCACCCACAGCCTTGTACATGCTGCAGGTCTCAGACAGATCTACACTCAGGTCATACACAGAGAAAAGATCTACACTCAGGTCATTCACAGAGAAAAGATTTACACTCAGGTCATACACAGAGAAAAGATTTACACTCAGGTCATACACAGAGAAAAGATCTACACTCAGGTCATACACAGAGAAAAGATCTACACTCAGGTCATACACAGAGAAAAGATCTACACTCAGGTCATACACAGAGAAAAGATTTACACTCAGGTCATACACAGAGAAAGGATTTACACTCAGGTCATACACAGAGAAAAGATTTACACTCAAGTCATACACAGAGAAAAGATTTACACTCAGGTCATACACAGAGAAAAGATTTACACTCAGGTCACACACAGAGAAAGGATTTACACTCAGGTCATACACAGAGAAAAGATTTACACTCAAGTCATACACAGAGAAATGATTTACACTCAGGTCATACACAGAGAAAAGATTTACACTCAGGTCATACACAGAGAAAAGATCTACACTCAGGTCATACACAGAGAAATGATTTACACTCAGATCATACACAGAGAAAAGATTTACACTCAGGTCATACACAGAGAAAAGATTTACACTCAAGTCATACACAGAGAAATGATTTACACTCAGGTCATACACAGAGAAAAGATTTACACTCAGGTCATACACAGAGAAAAGATCTACACTCAGGTCATACACAGAGAAAAGATTTACACTCAGGTCATACACAGAGAAAAAAGATCTACACTCAGGTCATACACAGAGAAAAGATTTACACTCAGGTCATACACAGAGAAAAGATCTACACTCAGGTCATACACAGAGAAAATGATTTACACTCAGGTCATTCACACAGAGAAAAGATTTACACTCAGGTCATACACAGAGAAAAGATCTACACTCAGGTCATACACAGAGAAATGATTTACACTCAGGTCATACACAGAGAAAAGATCTACACTCAGGTCATACACAGAGAAAAGATTTACACTCAGTTCATACACAGAGAAAAGATTTACACTCAAGTCATACACAGAGAAAAGATTTACACTCAAGTCATACACAGAGAAAAGATTTACACTCAGTTCATACACAGAGAAAAGATTTACACTCAGGTCATACACAGAGAAAATATCTACACTCAGGTCATACACACACACAAAAAAAGATCTACACTCAGGTCATACACAGAGAAAAGATCTACACTCAGGTCATACACAAAAAAGATCTACACTCAGGTCATACATACAAAAAAAATATCTACACTCAGGTCATACACACACAAAAAAGATCTACACTCAGGTCATACACAGAGAAAAGATCTACACTCAGGTCATACACAAAAAAGATCTACACTCAGGTCATACACACACAAAAAAAAAACTACACTCAGGTCATACACACACAAAAAATATCTACATACTCTCATACATACAGAGAAACAAGACTACACAAGGTACACAGAGAAAACATTTACACTACACTCAGGTCATACACAGAGAAAATATTTACACTCAGGTCATACACAGAGAAAACATTCTACACTCAGGTCATACACAGAGAAAAGATTTACACTCAGGTCATACACACAGAGAAAAAGATTTACACTCAGGTCATACTAAGAGAAAAAAATTACACTCAGGTTATACTAAGAGAAAACATTTACACTCAGGTCATACACAGAGAAAAGATTTACACTCAGGTCATACACAGAGAAAAGATCTACACTCACGTCATACTAAGAAAAAACATATACACTCAGGTCATACACAGAGAAAAAATGACACTCAGGTCATACTAAGAGAAAAAAATTACACTCAGGTCATACACAGAGAAAACATTTACACTCAGGTCATACAGAGAGAAACAGACGAGCTCTGAAGAGGAGCAGTATAGCTGTGTGCAGTAAAGACATTCAGAGTGAGGTCAGGGCGCAGGTGAATATCCACATGCAGCGGTTTATCCTGAAATCAATAAACTGCATTTAGATCAATATTCAACAATGAACAGCATGTGAAATAATGCTTTGTGAATGTAACAAATGATCAAATAACAGCAGCTACTCCGGCTAATCTACTCGTAAAGTCTCATATTTTAGATACAGTCAACAAACGTGTGCACCCGGCCCACTGGGGAATGTGTCAGAATCGTACTAATCAATGTTTTATGTGCCCGGGTCAAATGACGGCATAATGTAGTGTTCATGAAGCGCTCCCTCCCCTCACACAGCAGCCTTTTAGCACCTGCCCCCCAGACTATTCCACTGCACTCATCTGCATGCTTTTACTCACTGTTAGGACCAGCTTTCATCATACAAAACACAGGAGAGGGCAACGTGTGAACTGCTCAAAGTATTTCTACTCTTCAAATGTCAGGTGTCATATTTAAATGTGCAGGATTCTATTTTTACTGTATTCAAAATGCAGTGTTGGGGAGTAACAGATTACATGTACCGGAGTTACGTAATCAGAGACAAATTATGAGTAACTGTATTCAGTTACAGTTACTGTTTCAGTGAGTGGTAATTGGATTACAGTTACTTTGTTGAAATAAATGGATTACACCGTTTTCACATTTTGGGCTATATCCCCTTTTTTTTGGGTAATTCCACTCATTGCTGGACACTAAACCAGGTCTAAAACCAGGACTAAACCAGGACTAAACCAGGACTAAACCAGGACTAAACCAGGACTAAAACGAGGACTAAAACCAGGACTAAACCAGGTCTAAACCAAAAGGACTAAACCAGGACTAAACCAGGACTAAAACCAGGACTAAAACCAGGACTAAAACCAGGACTAAAACCAGGACTAAAACCAGGACTAAACCAGGACTAAACCAGGACTAAAACCAGGACTAAAACCAGGACTAAAACCAGGACTAAACCAGGTCTAAACCAGGACTAAACCAGGACTAAATCAGGTCTAAAACCAGGACTTAACCAGGACTAAACCAGGTCTAAAACCAGGACTAAAACCAGGACTAAAACCAGGACTAAACCAGGTCTAAACCAGGACTAAAACCAGGACTTAACCAGGACTAAACCAGGACTAAAACCAGGACTAAACCAGGTCTAAACCAGGACTAAAACCAGGACTTAACCAGGACTAAAACCAGGACTAAAACCAGGACTAACCAGGACTAAACCAGGACTAAACCAGGACTAAACCAGGACTAAAACCAGGACTAAACCAGGACTAAACCAGGACTAAACCAGGACTAAACCAGGACTAAACCAGGACTAAAACCAGGACTAAAACCAGGACTAAAACCAGGACTAAACCAGGACTAAAACAGGACTAAAACCAGGACTAA